CAAAGCCAGTAATATTTATCATTAAACAATGCAGGTCGCTTGCCTAGGGCTTATAATAAAGCACGTTTTAAAATATTCAATTTATCAACTGTTTTTATTTCCGGGCGCGGGTGTGACGAAAAAAAACCTGTGTAAATGAAGAAAGCCTACCTGAAAAGTCCAAAGGAATCCACCCTCAACAGACCCAACAAAACTAGAATCAAAGGCAAGACGAAACGCATTTCTGCAAAAGACAGGGTAGATTGATCTATCGTAACGTTACGAAGATATGGCATTCGAGTTAAAGACAAAGACAGTGGATGAATTAAATATTTCTCACCTTCCCGGAACAGAATAAGGAAAAATTGACTGAAGTTAGAAGTGATTTTCTCAGTTTGATATCTGATTCCCTCACGTGAGCGATGCAAGCAAAAAAAAAAGCCGCAAAAATAGCACAATTTCCTCCTCAAATTAATGTTTACGTATGTCAAGTTGGCCATATGTAACCACATGCTCAACTAACGCGAAAGCCTGGACACTAATGTACCGTTGTAATTTTCAAGTCGTACTGAGCTTCTGGTAAACTAAGTTGTATTTATCCTTAGAGCATAATGGCACAAAGCTTCGATTTTACAGAAGAGGAGATCAGAAGGAAACTAGAAGAACTCGGATACTCTCATATACCTCGAGATAAGCTGAAACAATTTCAAAGAGGTTTGTGTTAGTGGTAGAAGATTGTTTCTATTAGAGAAACTTTTCGAATGTTGATTATTTGATCTCAGCTCAAATCAATTCTGACTTTGATAAATTTCTCTTCGTAGATCAACGAGATTGTTTATTTTGAGTAATATGTCGTATTTCTAGTTAAATTGCATCTTGCAAAGCTTTGAGGCCGCTAAAGTGATCGACGTTGTCTATCGATCGATGTGATCGCACTTGATGTTGCATTTAAATTTCGTCTTCCTTTGTAGACTTGAAAGAGCTTATCGAATCAGAAAGGTCAACTTCCGAAGAAAGTGGTCTTCTTCGAAGTGGAGATTCTCCATCATCAGTTAATGAAAGTTATTACACTGACAGTTATTTAGACAGGAGTAAAGGAACAGAAACCTCTTCATCTCCATTTGATGGTAAGCACTAATCAATTTTAGATGTGGTTCTTATTGATTAGACAAACCACAAGAAACAATTGATATCAGTAATCCTTTACAGTCATCATTTTGCGCTGTTATTTCAAAAATTTAGCATCACAATTCGCCACTCCAAAAGAGGTTGCCGTAAAATCCACTCAACTTTTCATCCTCTTGATCTTTGTTTGGTCTCCTTCTTAGCTTCAGACAGCAGTTCAGAACCACGCCAACTTCTTGATAGGCACAGATACCCTTTGGAAGACTCAGCGTTCCCCCGACCAAAGTCAGCTCCAAGTTTGGCTAAGGTAGTTTCATCATAATGACTTGAATACGGCCAACTATTTGGCAGATTACTTAATCTCGTTTTATGTTTCTCTCAATCAGATATTATAGAGAGAGATGTTTGGCAAAATCTTCCTTTATTAGCATCATCATCATCATTGTCATTATTATCATCAAGAACCAAATTATCAATGATTCATGCTACTCCCTGGATTTTAAAAAAATTGATAGTTCTTGGGCTCTAGTTCTGATCTTTGGAGTACATACAAGTAGAATTTTTTTTTTGTGTGTGTTATTGAAAAGGAAAATTTCAACTCTATTTTGCCTCTGACCAAGGTAGTTTAACCCCTTGAACCCTCAGAGTGATGAGTGACTAATTTCTTGTTACACTATGTAGTTTTAAATTCTCTCCTATGGCTGCTACACATTTCCCTTTAAATTAGTTACAAGAGTTTGTTGTTCAATCAGGATGATGACTTCTACCTGATAGGTTTGAATATTCTCATCACCTGTTTTGCTGGAAAATGTCTAAAAACTATAGGGAGAAGTTACATGTTAATCACTTCTGGGAGTTAAAGGGCTAAATTAAAGGAAATGACTACCCTCCAAGAATCTCTTAACCCTTAAGCTCCCAAGATCTCATTAGTAATTCTCCTTTCTGTCTGCCAAATGATTCCTATGATGTTAGTTTAGAGAATTTGGTATCAGATCAATTAGTAATCCCATAATTGATATTTTTCTTGATTCTCATTACTTGTCTGCTTGATTTTGCATAGATATAGTAAGGAGAAATTCTGTCTTGGTCACTCACGGGAGTTGAAGGGTTAATTTTTGAACAAATTCTCCATATCAGAACCTGAGGAACTGTTTTGAGAAAAATGTAAAGAATATGCATACTGATTTTAGGGTGTAAAGAGTTATTAAATATGACTAAAAAAATTACTGATTACTTATCTTTGTTAGACAAAAATAAATCATCAACCGTATGGCAAGGAAAACGTTCATTACCATCCAGTAAAGCCACCAACCAGAGGAGAATCCACCACCACTGTTGAGAGCTCACCTCAAGAACAATCCAGAACCAGCAGTAGAAATGTTAAGAGAAAAGTTTTGAGACGAAAAGATGGTGAACCTAGAGTATTTGATGAATCTTTTACCACAAATGATTCTGGTAGGTTTGACAGATCATGAAAAATCTTCTACATTTTAGCATGATATTTTTTTCAAATTTCAAGTTTTTTTGAAAAAGTTTTTTATCTTTTTTCCAGTCACAGATATATCCGATTTAGAACAGAGATTACGAGATCTTCCCTTGAACAGTGGTGATGTAGATGATGCAGATGTTATCAGTACTGATAGTGAAGTAGGACCAAATAACTTCAGACCATGGGAAAATTATGCTGAAAGAGGATTGCCATCTTGTAAGAATCACTGATATTCTCTCTCTCTTTCTCTGGGACAAATTTAGACTACACGCTGGTATTTTAGGGGAGAGGTGGGTGTGAGAGTTGGGGTTAACATGAGTGTTGTTATGCGTCTAAATTAATGAAAGGGGCTTTATTGAAAAGCATACTATGTGCACTTTGTTTAATTTTTCACTGACCACAAAACTAATTATTTGTGCAGAGCTTCTTTGGAGCTTTCCAAAATTTGTTGTCGTCCAAGCTAACAAAAATAACTCAATTTTTTTATTTGCAATTGGAATTGGAATTGGAACACTCTCTTCTGATTTCCTTAAAGATCCTCAATTTATCTTATTCTTTGAAGCAAATAATCAACAGTAAGCAGATATTTATTACCGTTATACTGAAACTCACAGTTTCCAGTAAGCTGTTGTTGATATGGCTCACAACCCACTAAGTATCTGGTCTCTTGCAGTTATCAGGCCATCCTCTCGTCACCCTCACACACGACAATTAAAGAAGTCAGATCCTGTCTCAAGGTTTGAACTTTATCCATTTTCCCAGGTTTTAAATTCATTCACATGTTGACTTGTGTGATTAGGCCTTTTGTTGTTGTTGCTTTTGTTTTAATAACTGTCTGTTTGTTTGTTTTGTTAATTGCTGGTCAGTATGTGTAGTGAACATATTGAAATGTATGCTTTTTTATGGTAACTTAACCCTTTACACCCTAACATCAGTAGACATAGTCTCTATACTGTTCTCAATACAATTCCTAAGGTGTCGACAAGGGGAATTTGTTAAACAATCTAAAGCTTTTATCATTGGTGATCATTTCCTTTTTTCTTGTGACTTTTATTTATGATTCAGGGGTGATATTGTAAGGAGAAATTAGATACTAGTCACTCTTAGGGGTTGAGGGGTTAATGTAATTATAAAATGTATTTGTTTTTTCTGTTCTTGTTGCAGATATCACCAATTTAAGTATGAATGGCAGGCAAACAAAGCTCCAGGAGAGAAGAGCCACAAGAATCTGCGATGGAATGTCAGGGTAAATAATTTTATTTATAGATTGATTTTTAAAGAAATGGTAGGACTGTCAATTAAGAACCTTCTACTATCAGAAGTAAGCCAGGGATATACTGTATGCATTGCTTTTCCTTAGCCATTTAAATCCCATGAGTCACCAAGACAGAATTTCTCCATACCATATCAATACAATATCAATCACAAATGTGATGAGAATTAAGAAAAATATCAGTTGATATTAAAAGTCGATCCAATACCAAATTCTCTGAACTAACTTCATAAGAATTGTATGGCAGACAGTAAGGAGAATATCTTATGAGGTCATGGGAGTGAGAGGGTTAAGGAAGAGCTCTAAAGCAGAATAAAAAAGGAACTGTCTCACTCAGAACACAGGGCAGGTAACAACTGTAATATCAGTAAGAGAACTGAACAGTAGCTTCTGTAAGTAACTACTATTGAGATGGCAGTTGTCATTTGTGGTGTACTTGCCTTTCCTGATCTCTGATGTAATTTGTTGTTAATTTAGTGCAGATCCTAGCTTGCAGTGCAGGTATCTCATTAGGGTGAGCTAATGTTATAAGCCCATGGCCATTTATCTGACCAGACATGTTTGATTTAGAGTTAGAGTGGACAGTGGGGTTAGGGGGCAGGGGAAGGGCAAGAAGATAATCCTTGCTCCTGTACCCCCACCCCTCTCCTTACTTTTGACTGTCAACTGCCCCCTTGGTACAAATTTCTTTCTCTCCTCAACCTTCTGCTTCCATTAAAATCAAAGATAGTGGCCATAATTTTAGTTATTATAAGAAATTACCAAGCATCTATTCACCAAAAGTATACCAGCCCTGTAGGTTATACAGATCCTTGATAGAAATATTTGAGATATTCATGGTTTTCTAAGTTTGATGAATTGTACATAAATCTAATTGCCAGAGTGCTAATAATGACACCTACATCTTCCCTGGTTTGCTAATTGTTTTGTAAAATTCTTTCCATAGGGAAAGATGTTGCAATGTGATGTGTTTGAGGTGAGCTAAGATAAATACATAGTCAATGAAATTCTGAAAATGTGCATAGCAAGAAAGTTGTCACTGAGTGATGAGGCCATTGTGACCCCTTTTAGGTGCCAAAATCAGAATTTGGGATTCAAGGGTTTATAAGACAAAGCTGAATGGGTCAACTTATTTGAATGAAAATATGGTAGGCAACATTGTTTAAGGTTCGGGACACCTTACAGTGTATCAGATAACAAGGAGACTCTTAGTCTTAAACAGAAAATAAATTTGCAAAACCTTTGAATGAAAATAATAAGTTGGCAAAACTGTACCTTTTGCAAAAAGTTTAAACCATTCCTTAACTATAATATTGCCTTTTCATTTTCAGAAACCACAACGCAATTTCATTCCCAATAACTATGTTGTACCAACAGAGAAGAAGAGACAAGCTTTACGATGGGAAGTCAGATCTAGTCTTGCCAGAGTGTGATGTGATCTGCTGCATTCTATACATTCTTTAAATTTTTCAAGAAATAACACAGCCAATTACTGAATGATTGGACTAATAAATAATTTTTGGCTCTCATTAATGTACAAAAGGTTATTCACTAGCAGATTTACACATACATTTTTTCCACATGCACATCAAGATTTTTAAATAAATAACTTAATAATTATTTAAAACCAAGTTGCTGTTGTCTTCATACATAAACCCTTTGACTTCAAAGACCTCATTAATAGTTCTCCAATGATTTTAGTTCTGAGAATATGTTACTGGATCAACTAATGATCCCCTAATAGTTATTTCTTTCTATTCTCATTACTCGCCTGCGTGATATTGTATATATATTGTAAGGAGATATTGTCTTGGTCACTCATGCGAGTAAAAGGGTTAAAAACATGGGGTTTTTTTTCATAATTTATTTTTTTATTAATCAAAAAGTAACTGTTAGTAGCATGACAAAGGAAGTTTTTGTCTTAATCCAACACCAAATTCTAGTTTACTGGGAAATGTGCAGCAGCTAGAGGGGGAGAATTAACAATCAGATCTTGGGAGTGAAAGTGTTAACCCTTTACATCCTAACATCAGTGTGCATATTCTCCATACTGTTCTCTATACATTTCTTGAAGCGCTGATAAGGAGAATTTGTTTAAAAACCAAGCTTTGTAAGTTAGTGATCATCTCCTTGATTCTTGTGACCTTAATGTTTGATTCAGGGGTGATATTGTGAGGAGAAATTAGATGTTAATCACTCAGGGATTAAAAGGTAAAGATAAATTGCATGAAAAGGATGCAAGAAGATTTCTGCTTTTAAATTTCCAACTTTCTCACAATCTCTGGACTACAAGAAAGTAAGACTCAACAAGGCAAGAAAAATCACAATGAGTTGAATTGAACTTTTTATTTACTATTGAAATAGAATATTTACAAAGAAGGAGCAAAGCTACAAGAAAAGCTTAGTCAAACTTGTTAATGAGTATCCTATCATCTTCACAAAGGATATCCTCAAGAAACTCAACAGCCTTCAAGGACATCACAATGTTTTTGCGATGTAATATTGTGTAGACATCTAGGTCTAAAAAGAAAGAACAGGTTTATTGTCAATAGCAGCACAATTCAAGCAGCACATTTTGTTATGAGATGTAAAAAGAACAACAGTGAGATTCGAAGGAGTGCATAAACATACTTTTGGGATGACGCACATCTACAGTCTTCATCCCTTCTGCAGCCTCTGTGATTATTTCATTAGGTGTGCTGTAGGGGAAAAAAAGGTGTTTATATTGAAATTCAGATGTAGTTCACAAAGGCGAGCACTTTGTTCTTCTCATTAAATAAAAACAAAATCAGAAAAAACAAAACCCCTGTGAATAGAAAATTTTTTTCCCAAAAAAGAGAGATTCTTTAAAGGAGGTATCAAAAGCAAAGATTCTAGCTAGGATAGTTTTTTATTTTATTTTATTTTTTAATATCCAGACAAGTTCAGCCCTTAAAAGGGGCTTTACAAAAAGAACAGTTTCACTTCAATTTTACTTAATTTCCTGAAAAAAAAACATGATCAACCAGACACTTACGAATCAACCAGGACTACATTCGTCCAGCGTCTTTTGTCCAAGATTGGAATCAAATCCTGTAATTTAAATCCGCAAATAATTATTGAATACCTTGTGCCACAGAGATTGTTCAATGATGGACAAACAAAAGTTCAAATCTCTACAAGTTAAAAGATTACCACAATCAACACCCTCACCACTTTACTCCAATTCATTAACTAAAGACAGAATTTCCCCCTACAATAGTTTATAACAAAGTAGAAAAGGGATGAGAATAAAGAAAATAATATATAGATTTAGCCAAGCCTAAAAGTGAAGCTCGCATTTTTTCTTCCCCGCACATCTCAAGGGCACAACGCCTTACCCCAACCAAGACTAGAACCCAGGTCGTCCAACTCGGAGCCCAGTACACTGACCACTGGACTACTGGACAAAGCCATGGCATTGGCGTGCCTGTGGTACAGTTGACCGCGCATGTTAAAAGTAGCACCTTGTACAGTCATACAGTTGTACAACCAAATTTTTTTGGCTTGATGGGGTACTACTATTTTGTATATTTATGGGGCTATGATCCAACAACAAACTCTCAACACTATTGCGATTCATGAGAAATGTAAAGTGGATAGTAAGGAAAATTACCAGAGGTTTTGGGAGTGACAGGGGTTAATTTATAACCAGACTTTCTACACGTGAAATTGTTTCTTTTCGTTTGCCTTTGAACTAGAAACCTACCCGATCGTTTTCAATATCCTCAAATGAATCTACAATGTGCAAATGTCCCTGTAAAAATGGAAATAAGCAAAATGGTCAAAAGGTAGAATTAGGATTCAATTTCACAGTTTTTAACAACCAGCAAGCTGTACCTGTGCATATCTGACAGAGAGAGCAGTACGTAGACCCATTCTTCTGACTTTTTTCGGCAATCCATACTTGTAGCTCTTTGGCACAGGACCATGTACTCTACCACCTGAAAGATGGTAAGCTTTGACCTTAAAACTGATGTTCTCTCTGATCTAAAATCTAATGAAAAGGTGTGGGCTAAATCCTTTAACTCTTAAGATCTTTTTGTTAATTCTCTCCTCTAGCTGTTACACATTTCCTTGTAAATTGATTATGTGAAATTGGTATTAGACCAAGATAATAAATTATAAAAATTTAAAAATAAGTTTGAGAATTTTCATAACCTGTTTGTTGGATAGTTTACAGATATCACAGGGAGAAGTTACATGTTAATCACTTTTGGGAGTTAAAGGGTTAATTTCACCTGACCACTCTTTCAAATACACTCTTCCTTCCACCAGGAGCATATTAAGCTCATTTCCCAAATAGAAGCTGACTGCTAAAGTGGAAAGAAGCAAAAATGGTTCTCAATCATGATGTCACCTTTTCTCCATTGTGGCGCTCTTATGCTGCCTTGTCGTGCTCTTCCAGTTCCTTTTTGTCTCCAAGGCTTTCTTCCACCACCTCTTCTTTCTGCGCGATTTTTGACTTTTGCAGTTCCCTGAAAAATAAGAGCCAGAATACACTTAAAGTAAACTGTTTGTAACGAGAAGTCTTTCCTGTTTCTGAAAAATCAGTTTTTTTGTGCAAGTTGAAGTTGTGTCCAACTGATTTTATGATGAAATTTATGTGAACAATAGTCTTTCTTTTTCTGTGGTGAATTATTGTGAAACTAGGACTCATTTGATCAACCCAACCCTTCAATTAAATAAGCAATATTTCCTCTATCTACCACTCCTATGTACACCGGCAGAACAACACATTTTGCAACTTACAGCTCTATTTTTTGCTCTCCACCAGACAACAACTCTGTGTAAAATGTCAATCCTAGAAAAGGAGAAACATCAAATAAGAATTCCTTTGTAAAGAATGAATTTGCATTTAATTTTTCTACCCATAAAGAAGCTTGTCTGAACAATTGCCACAGTGACTTCTTTGATCACAGAGTCTGATGATATTGAAAAGTTTGAGTAGCCTTTTTTAAGAAGACATTCTCTATCTAGACATGCTTCAAAAACAAATTTCAGTACTTGGTCGAGAGGGGTCTGTGACAAGGGTGCCCCAAAGCTCTAAAAAGCATGGATTACACAGCGGAATTTTGACGACCTATTGCTGAATGTCTGCAATGCCCTTTAAAGCAGACCTCAGCCTAGATTTGACGCCTCTCAACAGAGAACTTTTCCCCTTTGGGCCTCTCCTTCAGCAACACAGCCACCAATTCCAACACTCAGCCTACCCGCACATAGCTAATGAGTCACTACCAAGGCAGACCTTCTTCCCATAACTTAACTCCACACAAGACAATGACCAGCATTGTTGTCTAAATGAAAGTGGTTTACCATCTTTTCTTTAGAAACCCTGTTTTCTAAGCTTTAAAAAAGGTCATGGTCAAAATAATTTCTTTTTTTTTCATTTTCTACTTTTTTTCATTACTTAAATCTTCTTGTTATGAAGCTACTAACAGTTGCTAAATATCCATAAACACTAAACTCCCTTTTAAAAATCAATTGTAATTTTTAAACCACTAGGTGGCTGAAAAAGTTTCAGATTAGTTGGATGAACAATTTATCCAACACAGGAATTTTCCCATTTATAGCCAACTTTGTGAGCAAATATAGAAATATGTAAAAAAAAATTTCATACCCAAAATATCACATTTGAAGGTGTTTGTGTGAAAAAATTAAATATACCTTGGATTGGCTCCAAAAACAAATTCATTTAACTCCACCAATCCCAGAGGATTCTCTGAAGTGAAGGATGTGACCCAAGCTAGTATCCCTGAGTTGTGGTTTTCATAGTCTCTTGTTGCAATAAACTTGCAAACACTTGGACTGAAGTCACCTGCATGAACACCAAAAATTCAGCAGAGAGTAAAATTCACACTTCTTTGTTACAACCCAAGTCTACAAGTTGTAGAAGGTGTGAATGTAAACACTGAAATGTGAATTTAAAAAGTTCAGAAGTA